AACTTTCAGTTGAATAACATGGGTTTTTTACTCCTTCCCCTGTACTTGTTTTGTGCTGGTGTGTATGTTGTCACTAGCACTAGCCTGTGCTGGGAAAGGAAAATTTATTTCAACTTGAGTCAAAGGTTCTCCCAGTTTTGCAGTTGAACAAAGGTCTTTTGCTCCTTCCCCTGTACTGGTTAAGTGCTGATGTGTATATGTCACTAGCACTAGTTGAAAAACATTTTCAGTTGAATAACATGTCTTTTCATCCTTCCCTGTACTTGCTATGTGCTGGTGTGTTTGTTGTCATTAGCACTAGCCTGTGCTTGGAAAGGAAAAACAATTGAAACGTAGATCTTAAGATTTTACCAGACTTATAATTTGTTATGTGATGGTGTGATTTCAAAGACTAGCAATAGCCTTTGTCATTTAATCCTTCCCCTGTACTTGCTATGTGCTGGTGTGTTTGTTGTCATTAGCACTAGCCTGTGCTTGGAAAAGAGAACTCAATTTCAACTTGAGTGTCAAGGATTCTTCCAGACTTGCAATTGAACAACATGTGTCTTTTACTCTGTGCCTTGTACTTGCTGTGTGCTGGTGTGTATAATGTCATTAGCACTAGCCTGTGTTGGGAAAGGAAAATCATTTCAACTTGAGTCAAAGATTCTCCCAAACTTTCAGTTGAATAACATGGGTCTTTTGCTCCTTCCCCTGTACTTGCTATGTGCTGGTGTGTATGTTGTCATTAGCACTAGCCTGTGCTGGGAAAGGAAAAACAATTGAAACTTAGATCTTAAGATTTTGCCAGACTTGTAAAAATTTATGTGCTGGTCTGATTTGAAGAACTAGTACTAGCTTTGGTCATTTAATCTTTTCCCTGTACTTGTTATGTGCTGGTGTGCATGTTGTCACTAGCACCAGCCTGTGCTGGGAAAAGAAAAATCAATTTTTCCTGAATCAATTTTTCTCCCAGGTGTGCAGTTGAACAACATGTGTCTTTCTCTCCTTCCCCTGTACTTGCTATGTGCTGGTGTATAAGTTGTCATTAGCACTAGCCTGTGCTGGGAAAGGAAAATCTATTTCATCCTGAATCAACTTTTCTCCCTTTGCAGTTGAACATTCCCAATTACTTGTTATGACATTGTATGTATTCCTGTACTAACATAAGAAAGTGTTTAGTATTGAAACCAGTTATATACTTGTGTTGGTGTGTTTGTTGTCATTAGCACTAACTTTTGCTTGGAAAGGAATCAATTTATACACACTTTTAACATGACTTGGAGTTGAACAACATTTTTTTGTCCTTCCCTTGTACTCTCTGTGTGCTGGTGTGTATGTTGTTACTAGCCTGTGTTGCATGAGGAAGCCATTTCATAGATAACTTAATTTTTTTCCAAATACTTACTATGGGCTGGTGAACTTCCTCAAAAGCCTGTCTTGGTAGAGAAGTCTTGCAACATGGAAATTGGAGAAATTGTGCTGCTGCTATTTTGTCTAAATTACTAGCACTAACCAGTTTTGGAAAATCTTGTGCCTTTATTCAACTGCAAAAATATTATTATGGGAGGATAAGCTACATTCTAAAGCAATTCTTTAATTCACTTTATTTTTTATTAAGTCTATTGTTGAACTGTATGTCTCAAATTACTAATTTTCTTGTAAATAGATGACAGATGCTCGTTTTAAATTAGGATTGCCATTTGCATACTTCTGCAGAAAAACAGAGTATTTTAACAAAGTTCTCTTCAAAATCATAAAAGTTTAAAGCAATTTATTTTGACTTTTTCTCAACCTCAAGCTTATGCATATTATTAATCATACTTAGGTACCTGTTTCAGTTTGTTCTGTGCTTCTATGCCTTTCATTCATATGTGCATTGAGGGTCCAAAATAAAAACCAAAGCCAAGGCATGCAACTTAGCATCTACCGGTATTCTCTTGGATTTGCATTCAAAACAAAAGTCTCAAACAATAAACTTCCCGAGGCTTATGTGCTGGTGTGTAAATTGTCACTAGCACTACGGAATGATAAAAAAATTTGATTCTTGTGAAATAAATTGTGTCTGTATTATGCTAAGAAAAATTAGTGTGTAATTTTGTCACTAGCACTTGCCTTTATTGTAGTCAATTTCATTGGGGCATTTCAAGATTTGCAGTTGAACATTTTTGCTTGTTGTGTATCAATTACATACTAAAACACCACAATAAAATCAATTTCAATTTGACAAATTAAAAAAATGTGTCTAAATGATGAAATGTTTTGATGTTTCACATACTAGCCTGTGCAAAGGAAAATCAATTTCATGCATCAAATTTTCTCAAAAATGTGCAGTTGAAAATTCCCAGGTTATGCCTTTATTGCAGTGAAAATACGTGTTTATATTGAAACACAAAAATTGGACTTATTTTATCCAGTCATCTACACTAACTTTTGCATGGAAAGGAATCATTTTATACACAACTTTTAACATGACCTGGAGTTTGAGGCATTATTTTTTATCCTTCTCTAAAAATTGTGTCTTTTTCTTACATTATGACATGTTGCATTTTCTCTTTATGCTCAATAAAAAAATGTGAGCTGGTAAACATCCTTTCAATGGCCTATCTTGGGGGAGAAAGTCTTAAACATGGAAATTTTGGGAATGTGTGCTGCTGTTTTGTCTAAATTACTAGCACTAACTATTTTTGGAAAATAAAACAAGAAAAATATTATTATGGGAGGATAAGAAATTGATAGCAATTCTTTAATTCACATTATTTTTAATTAAGTTTTTTGAACTAATGTCAAAAAATAAATTTTCCTGTAAATAACATATAATGCTCATTTTAAAAATTGCCATTTGTATATTTCTGCAGAACAAGCTATATTTAACAAAGTTCTCTTCATAATCATAAAAGTTTAAAGCAATTTATTTTAGTGCAATTTGATGCATTATTAATTGTGACCTGTTTCAGCTTGTTTCATTGCTTCTATGTCTTTCATTCACATGTGGTACTGTGACCAAAGCCAAGGCATGCAACTTAGCATCTACCGGTATTCTCTTGGTTCCTGGTGAATTCAAAACAAAAGCTCAAACAATAAGCTTATAATTCTCTCACCAATATGTAAGCTTCGGTTTCAAGTTTTTGACTTTTAAATTCTTTAAACTTGCCACAGTAAGTTTAGCATCTACTTTTAACCATTCAATATACATATACATGTATACATAGGGTCATGATTTGAACAATTAAGTCAACCTCAGAATGCTTCCACATAAGTTTCAGCTTTTCTGGCCTAGTGGTTCTTGAGAAGAAGATTTTTCAATGACCCCACCCTATTTTTGTCTTTTCTTGATTATCTCTCCTTGGAAGGGGATTTAGCCCTTTATTTTTACAATTTAAACTCCCACTCATCCAAAGATGGTTTGTACAAAGTTTAAAAAAGAAATGACTTAGTGGTTCTTGAGAAGAAGTTAAAAATGTGAAAAGTTACCAGATGGACGAACAGACTGGACAGACGGACAGCTAGATAGACGACCGACAATTGTTGATCAGAAAAGCTCAAGAGCTTTCAGCTCAGGTGAGCTAAAAACAATAAATGCAAGTCTGAAGTACATTACACCGATGATCACATATTTTGTTTGAATTATAACAGTTATAAACTGCACTTAAAACTAAACTTAAGGTCATTTTGAGATTCTTACAATAGAAACTTTAACATCTACAGCTATACTTCATAAGAACTTCACTTTCACTTGTAGAATAATGGAAAATTACACATTTATTATGATATCCCATCTGAATATAGTATAAGATTTGTAACAATAACATACCTGTATTAAACCATTTAGGTTGAGTGTCTTATTAAGTTGATGATCCAAGTGAGGGAATTCTTGGTTCATGTAAGACTTGCGACATCCTTGTATCTTTACCAAAGATGCGATCACTGACAGGGTTTTCTGGTCCTATGCCTCAAACCTTGCAATAATTACATGTACAAGAGGACCAGTGCTCTTCTGATGAATTGTACAACCTATCACTTCTATTTGAAGCCTTTAAGTATCCCAAGGGATCTTAAAATCTGGCCCAATATTCTAAAAGTTTATGCACATCACATAAGCACAAATGGCCATAGCATTAGGCATTCTTAAACAAATTGTTTGGTTGCCTTCTCTCGACTGACTGACTACAAATGGCCCAAATCAACCCTTTTTTTTAATGACAGGATACAATAGTTTTTCTTTTTATTCCTCTTATTCCTTCAACAAATATGTTACAATTTTCTGGAAAAAAGATTTCCCCATCTAACTACCAACTCAGTAAGTTTACCCTGAGTTGGGAGAGGGCAAGCAAACATTATTTTAAAGATGGCCTTAGCTCTTTGATCCTTTGGCTCAGAAGAGTTAATATAGAAAATGATGGAGTTTATACATTCATTAAAATGAGGATCTCATGGCTTGCTTTTGGTTTTTACAAAAAATTTTGTTTTTACCAGGATGTATCAGCTGTGATTAGGTTTGTTAATCCATCCCCTCACTGTTTCCAAAATTTTTAATACAGTGAAAAATACAGTACCATAATATCAATCCAAAAACATAACTTTGAAACATTTTATTAAAGAATTATTCCTCTAAGCATAGGATTTGCACACAAAAGGAAATGCTAATGATGTACATTTCCTATATTTAATTTTACTTTCTGGACACCTTTTAAAACAAGTCGCCTTCTGCTCATATTTGTAAAGTAAAAACTCACCATTTTACAATCAGAGATTCTTTTCATAAAATAAAGCTATCACATATTTGAACTCAGAGATGGACGTGAAAATTATCAGTTTGATTTCTCAAATAGCGATGTGGGGCCATCAGTAATAAATCAAGCTCTTTGATAGCTTTTATGCTTCAATTTATCTATTTACATCCATTCACAAATGTAGATGCAACACAGATAATAAAATATTTTGTTCACTGAACATGCTGAATGTTTCAGTTTCCAAAAATTTCAATTTACCAAAGCTTTCAAAAATTAATTAACACCAGATGAACAAGTAACATTGAATTTAATGATGAAATGATCCATGATTTTGTTTTTACAAATAAGGTAATTATACATGTATGGACCTGTACAGCAAACAACAAAATACTGCTGTAAGCACTTTAAATATCCACGTAAGAAGAAAGGAATATTTCACCTTCACATTCTATTATGTTCATGAAAATTAAACATGTATCTGTTCCTTCAATAATCTTAAGTTTTGGTTTTCAATTATTATATTAAATAGGAGGTATCAAATCTAAATATTACATAATAGTTCAATAAATGTGAATTTATAAACACTTATAGTACAAGAATATTTCATACCAAAACATCTTAATTTTGCATCATTTACAACCAAGTGATAGATCTGAGAAAGTTTTTAAGCATTCAATTTTTTAATGGAATATTAACATAGCAACATATAGCATATACTCTTCTCTTCTGGAATTTTAAAACTGGTATTCACACTCTCAACAAATCTCTCCAACAAATACAACTTTAAATCATCAAAAACATACAAAAAAATTGTTTATTTACATGTGCATCTTATTTACTTTGAGTAATGGCATTTGTTGAGTTTCTCACAGCTTTTCCCATGATGCAACTAGACACATTTTGAATACAAATTCACAGATATTTTTTTATCATATTACATCTTTAAACAATGCAATGGCATTTAGATTTTTATTTCTTCATTAATGTAATGCTCCTGATAATCAAGTATCCCTGAAATTTCACTTACAGGGACAAGCCGAACAAAATGCAGGTTTTTTTCTACACATTCCAGTCAACTCGTCCAATCAATGTACAGAGATTTGAACAGTTATTTGGTCTTGTGTATAAATAATAGCCTCCAATCATATCACACAGTTTTTTGTATCATATTAAATATTGAACACAAAATGAAATTTTAAAAATTTCCAGTCAAATACTGAATAATTTTCACCAGATTATTTTTCTCCAATCTCTCTTGAGAGTGACCACATTCGGTATGAAGTTTCAACCAACTCCTGGAATATTTCCTGAACAAATCACTGATGGAACTGGATACCTGTAATATCCAAGGAAGGAGGGGGGATGTCATCTAAATTTTCAATCAACATGCACTTTAACTGCTACCATTTTCATATAGAATTTCCCTCACCCCAAACAACTAACATAAACTCCCAGAACATCTCTTTCTGTAGCACCAATTGTAACATGGTAAGAGAGAACAACCAAAAACAGAAACGAATTAAGGTCCATCAAATGAACCAGTAAACACTTCCAATATCACCTTGGTTGGAGAGAAATCTACCACACATTCCAGACAGAGGGGGGTCAGGATTTGGCTTTTTCTTGACTTTCTTTCAGTCTCATCACCAAGTCTCTGATTTCACTCCTCTTGGCCGTGACCCTTTCCTCTGAGAACCAGTCCGAGAGAGATTTCAGTGGAATACTAAAGTCCTGAATGGGATCCTACAAAACACAGATTTCTGTCATGTTGATGTTTTTTTATATATAAAAAAATTTAGAAGGAATGTTGTCATGTTTTTTTTTTTAAATATATCTAAAATTTTACAAGACAAGAGGCCCACGGACCTTATAGGTCACCTGAGTATCATGTAACAACTTTCCAGCGATTGTATTTGGTTCGTGTTTTAAGCCAAAAGCCATGAAATTCACAAATTTTGAAAGAGGCACCATTGCTTATCAAAGGGCAGATTTCAAAGCATTAATTTATTTTTAGTCAAAGTATCCCCCTGGTACCCCTGACCCAGCAGCCCTGAAATTATCTATTTTGAAAGAGGCCCCTTTCTTCATTATAAGGCCAGCATTTTTTTTATGTTTAGGTTTAGTTATGAACATGAGAATAAAAAAGTCCCAAAGGAGAAGGAAATAAAAATTTTTTTTTGATAAATCAATTATTAACATTTGTACATTCTTTTTTTATGCTATCCTAATAGGCTCCTTACCACTGGACACATAATGCTTACAAATAGGAAAGTAGAACATGTAATTGCTTATTTCATCATCTGCCAGTTTGGGCCAGTTGTATAAATTTTGTGATGTTGATCAAAATATACTTTAAAAAATCAATTCTTTAAAAGTCTTTCAATATATCTTCATTTTTTTTAATATGTGTTAGGTGAATGTGTAGACATTGTTCTAAAATTTACTTGATGCCTAAAATTATAATTCCTATCATAAAATAGACAGGGAGTATTGGGGAGTAGGGTCAACATTTTTTCAATTAAGTGTAAAATAATTTTTCTGGCTGATACAAATGATACTACATGCCTGTATATATTTGTATATTCTTGCCTTTTAATAGTTGAATTTTTTTTTATTTCTTCAGGTTATTGTTTATTTCTTCCTCAAATGGACTTCACTTCTCCCATAGTTTTTATTCATTACATCTGATGCATAAGCAACCCTTTTCTGAAGAATGATGCTTAGACTGTAAGCTATAACAGAGACCTAAACAATGTCCCTGGCAATATGCAATAGCTACCACGGGCAGTTTAAAACCTGGGGGTGAAAATAATTTACAGTTACTTTTGAAGCGAATACATAATTATCTCTCCAGCATGTCATTGTGCAACAAAGTCGTCAGCATTTTATTTGTCCTTTGAACGGGTGAAACGTTTTGAATGACACTTTTATCGATGAATTTTACACTAAACCAAGCTATCTTCTCAGATCTAGCTTTATTTACCCGCCGTTTCATCGTAAAACCGGAAGTGCGAGTTCTTAAATTTGAAATCTTGATCCCGACTCAAATTTGACATTGGAAAGAAAACAAATTGTTTTATTTTTTTCTGAAAATTCAAAACCTTGAGCGGAGGGTTTGTAAAACTGAAAATAAAATAAATCCTGGCCTTAAATATGTAATTAGATCATTAGCATATTAACCAGGAGCAAAGGATAAGATGTTCAAAGAATTCATGCATTTCACTATATAATCATTAGAGCCCCACCCTAAAACAAGAACCCCTGACCCTGGGGCCATAAAATTCACAATTTTGGTAGAGGCACTCTTGATTATCATAACTATGTACTTAGTTAGTTTATTTAATACCCAGGAGCAGAGAGAAGAAGATTTTCAAAGAATTCATGTATTTTCATTATATAATCAATAGAGCCCCGCCCTAACACCAGAACCCCTGACCCTGGGGCCATAAAATTCACAATTTTGGTAGAGGCACTCTTGCTCATCATAACTATGTACTTAGTTGGTTTATTTAATACCCAGGAGCAGAGATGAAGATTTTCAAAGAAATAATGCATTTTCACTACCTACTTATTTAGCCCCGCCCTAGCACTAGAACCCTTGACCCCAGGGCCATGAATTTCACAATTTTGGTAGAGGACCCATTGCTGATTACAATCATGCGAACAGTTTGACTGCTTGATGTCCAGGAGTAAAGAAGAAGATTTTTAAAGATTGCATTAATTTTAGTGGTTTTGGCCCCACCCCTCAGGCCCCAGGGCGGCAGGGATCATGAAATTCATAATTTTTGTTCCCCTTCACCCATAGATGCTTTGTGCCAAATTTGGTTGAAATTGGTTCAGTGGTTGCAGAGAAGAAGCTGAAAATGTTCAAATGTTAACGCACGACGAACGATATGTAAACAGATAGCAATAGGTCACTGAGTTTACTCAGGTGACCTAAAAACTGAAGTCCTAAATATTATTATTATTCTTAGATGGCTTAATGCATGGGTATCATCAGTGTCTTATATAAAAGTGACAGAGAGGTCAGAAAGTAACCTCGTATAAGTTCTATGGCCCCAAGCCTGATCTACATGTATCAATGTAAAAGTGGTGTTACTCAATCCTTTCTTCAATGAAAACTTGTGTACCTCAAAAAAGCTCTCCACATACTGCAGTATGTACACCCCACAGTCACTGAAGTTGGTTTGCTGGGGGACCTTGGTCGCTGTACAGCCTCGGATCCTCTCCCTCAGACTGTTGGGGGTCTTCTTCTTAGTGTCCCACTCTACCTGAAGATACCTGTAAATCAAAAATTAGATTTAAGTGAAAAATTTCAAAGGAAGAGTGTATTTGAATATAAATATAATACAACTTCTTGAAGTACATTCTAAATGACTCTTTAAACTATATAGAAATCAAGCCTTTGAACACTTTGAATTTAAAAGAAAGAATTTTTTTGAGGAAGATACTTGACAATTATTTTAAGATGTAAATGAAACCTCCAAACAAAAGTGTATTTGAATACAAGCATGATAACATCTGCTTCAAATGCAATGTAAAACTCTTTTTAACTTTATGGAAATAAAAAAAAACTCAACACTTTGAATTTGATGGAAAGAATATTTTAAGAGATACGCTAAAACAATCAATGACAACAACTCACTCTTTAAGAATGGCGACAATACGAGACCTGCTCTGTCCAGCTAAGGAATCAAATATTAAGATGCAGGGCCTGAAATTAAACAGAACATGGACTGTATTACAATGGGTACATAGAAAGAATTTTTTTAATACCTAAAACAAAGTATTCATAGGCACAAACTGTGACTTAAAGTAGGTCTACACTCGCACTACGTCATTTACGAATAGTAAAACCGGAACTGCGCTTCCTTTTTCCGAGATGAGATTTTTTAACTATATTGGTTTGACTTTTACTTAGCGTTTTAAATATCCGGTAACGATTTTGCTCTAAGTCGGTCGCGTCAACAAACACAGATTCTACAGTTTAAGGATAAATTAATTAAAAAGAGAAGGCTGGGAATAACTTTCGGTTGACAGAAATAATTAGGTAATTAAACAATATTTCTGTGAATGATGCATGTTTTATATGCCGCGCTTCAAACACCATATATGCTACATGTGTATCAAACTAAATTTGGTTTGAAGCTAATAGTGATAATTCAGAAAAGTAATGACTACGATTTGACTTAGACAATCTATGGATTTTACTAATCAAACATTACAAAATTTACTTTGAATAATAATTATTGCATAAAACGCATACCCCCCTCCCCCAACCTGCTTACCCACGTATCCCAATGCAAAATTATCTTTTGAATAAGTATTTGACAAGTTGATTCACTTGCAGCACACTTCGTTACTTTCTGTAGCAAAATCATCCAGTTTCTGAGAATCAGTGAATTACTTTCATTTTCATCGTCTCCAATTTAAAGACAAGTGTGTTTTATTTTTTTTTTTTTTTTTTGAGCAAATTTTAGGGACAATAGGTTTTGGGTGTGTATAATTATTGTTTTAAATTATGTACAACTTTGTTAATACAAGTATACACTCAAACATTAACAGTATTACAGAAATATGTGGCAATATACAGTCCAGTACATTACGAAAAACTGTAATATTACAGTTTTCCATAATATAAGATTTTATATTACAATTTTTCGTAATATAACTATATTATGAAAAATTGTAATATTATGGAAAACTGTAATATAGTTCAGGCGCGTAGCATCGTTTTTGGAAGTGGGGGGGCCAACCTGAGAAAAAATTTTTTTACTTACCAGAAAAAGTTGACAAGCAAAAAAAAAAAAAAAAAAAAAAAAACGAAAAATTAAAAGTTGCCCGAGTCAAAAATCCTATTCGTGGGGGGGGGGGGGGGGGTAGTGGCTAACTTTTTTCAAGACCAACTATCTTTCACTGAAACTTTTTGGGGTTAATTTTCTTATAACACTACCCTCCTTTGCTGAAATGTGGGGGGGCCAACCTTCCTTTCAGTAAACATTTTCTATAGTAAAGGTAATGTCAGCCTGGGGGGGCCTGGCCCCCCCTGGCCCCCCCTGATACTACGCCCCTGTAGTTAATGTTGTGAAAATCTTAAATTAAAGCAAACAAATGCTTTTATTATGAAATATTTTTGTTCCAAACTTCTGGTTTAATTGTTTTCATGGTGCAGGGTAAGAAATGTAAAATTTAAAATTTTTGATTTTCTTTGACATAGTGACACTTTGAAAATTCTCAAAGTAATTTTTTCGATTGGCAGTAATTTTCCTATATAGTTTGAAGTTGATAACCTGATACTGGTTCCATAAGTTTACACCATCATGGTTCTTTCATTACTGTAACTAATGCATTAATGATTATCCAGCTGTTAATCTTGTGTAAGACCAATATGCTTATAGACACATGATATTCCTTTGAACACTTTTATTCATTTAGTAAGTGGTAGTAGTGACCCTGCTGTGAGCTAGATGCAGATTTAATCAAGCATAGATTTTTTTTACAATGGGGGAGAGATACTTACAATATATTTTAAAATTGTAATATTACAATTTTTCGTAATGTACAATATATTATATGTATTTGAATACAAGAGGATAACATCTGCTTCAAATGCAATGTAAAACTATTATAAAATGGCTTTTTATTGTAAAGTTTAAATCCAAAAGTAGTCAACCACTTTTGAATTTTTTAGAAAATGATTGAAAGAATATTTTTAAAGAATCTTCCTATATATCTCTAAAAACTTGGTCGGCCAATCAATGACAACAACTCACTCTTTAAGAATGTTTCCATATAAATATGATGAATTATGGCTTTGTCATTCTTGAGAAGAAGATTTTTAAAATTTTCCTATATATTTCTATGTAAAATGCAGGGCCTGAAATTAAACAAACTTGAACATACCTGACTGTTTCCATATAAATATGATGAATTATGGCTTTGTCATTCTTGAGAAAAGAATTTTTTTAATATTTCTAAAACAAAGTATTCATAGGCACAAACTGTGAATCTAAAGTAGCATGCTTCTATATATATGCACTACGTCATTTACGAAGAAGATTTTTAAAGAATTTTCCTATATATTTCTATGTAAAACTGCGCTTTTGGCCTTTTTCTTGAATCTACACTACCTGAGATGTGATTTTTTTGTCAACTATATATTTCTATGGTTTGACTTTTACTTAGCGTTTTAAATATCTAACGATTGCTTGCTATATATATGATGAATTATGGCTTTGTCATTCTTGAGAAGAAGATTTTTAAAGAATTTTCCTATATATTTCTAAGTAAATTAATTAAAAAGAGAAGGCTGATTTGAACAAAATTGAATCTACACTACCTGAGCATGCTTCCATATATATATGATGAATTATGGATTTGTCATTCTTGACAATAAGATTTTTGAATTTTCCTATATATTTCTATGTAAAACTTTATATGCCGCGCCGAAAACACGGATCATGATAACAAAATTGAATCTACACTACCTGAGCATGTTTCCATATAAATATGATGAATTATAGCTTTGTCATTCTTGAGAAGAAGATTTTTAAAGAATTTTCCTATATATTTCTATGTAAAACTTTGGAAGAAAATTAATGGCCCCGATTTGATGATTTGAACAAACTTGAATCTACACTACCTGAGCATGTTTCCATAACATTACAAAATTTTTGTCATTTGAAAGAAGATTTTTAAAGAATTTTCCTATATATTTCTATGTAAAACTTTGCATTTTGGCCCCCCCTCCCCCCCATGATTTGAACAAACTTGAATCTACACTACCTGAGCATGTTTCTATATAAATATGATGAATTATGGCTTTGTCATTCTTGAAAGAAGATTTTTAAAGAATTTTCAATATATTTCTATGTAAAACTTTGCAGCACACTTCATTACTTTTGTATCAACTACATGAGCATGCTCCCATATAAATATGATGAATTAAGGCTTTGTCATTCTTGATTAAGATTTTTAAAGAATTTTCATATATTTCTATGTAAAACTTTGTCTCCAATTTAAAGACAAACTGTGTTTTAGGATGCTTCCCCATTTTCATCTTTTTTGGCACAGTGGTTCTTGAGAAGAAGATTTTTAAAATATACCACTAAATTTTCATTAATTCCCAATAGGTTTTGGGTGTGTATAATTATTGTTTTAAATTACTTTGTGGCAAGTTTGGTTGAAATTGGCTCAGTGGTTCTTGAAAAGAAGTAAAATGTGAAAAGTTTGCAAACATTAACAGTATTACAGAAATACGCTGGACAATATATTATATGCTACTTCCTTCGGCTCAGGTGAGCTAAAAAGGGGGGTCCCTTTAGTGTAGAGCTCATACCACGAAAAGTAATGCGTCAACATATAATTTTTTTAAGCTTATTATTTTTCTTAAATATAATTTAGTAAAAATATTGCAAATTTACGAAGTTTGAGTCCATAATTTTTTTTTAAATGACCGAGATTGTCCTGTGAAGCATATTTTCTCACATTAAATTTTGATACAATAGCCTAACAAAGTGTATCTATTTATAATAATTCATGCAAAACAATGATTATATATTGTTTACAAATATGTTTCTACTCTATTTTGGGTATTAAAGTTGAATAAATTAGACTTAAATTAATTTATATACAACAAAATCTAGGATAGGTAAAATTTCAGTATTTTACATTTCGGGGTATATACTCCGATAGGCTATAGCGGAAAAGTGAACATGTTGACATATAATTTTTCTTGTGTCTATCCATTGCTGGGATGTATGTCTATCTTATAAAAGCAGATTTTTAAAGATTGAGCCCATTTAGTGCCGAGTATAGAACTACCTTAAGGTAGATTCAAAATATTTTTGAACATATAAATTCAAAAAATAATCAGAATTTTTACTTTACTTTGATTGCCAACTGGATTTCCAATATAAATAACTTATAGTAAAACTACTGTATATAGCTAAGGAACAAATATTGTCTGCAGAACCACTGTCTAGTGTCTATAGCTTGTAGAACCACTCATCTAGTGTCTATAGCTTGTAGAACCACTCGTCTAGTGTCTATAGATCATAGAACCACTGTCTAGTGTTTATAGCTTACAGAACCACTGTCTAGTGTCTATAGCTTGTAGAACCACTGTCTAGTGTCTATAGCTTGTAGAACCACTGTCTAGTGTCTATAGCTTGTAGAACCACTGTCTAGTGTCTGTAGATTATAGAACCACTGTCTAGTGTCTACAGCTTGTAGAACCACTGTCTAGTGTCTATAGCTTGTAGAACCACTGTCTAGTGTCTGTAGCTTGTAGAACCACTGTCTAGTGTCTATAGCTTGTGGAACCACTCATCTAGTGTCTCTAGCTTGTAGAACCACGGTCTAGTGTCTGTAGCTTGTAGAACCACTGTCTAGTGTCTATAGCTTCATTAGATTGTAGAACCACTCATGTAGTGTCTATAGCTTGTAGAACCAGTCTAGAGTCTACAGCTTGTAGAACCACTGTCTAGTGTCTGTAGCTTGTAGAACCACTGTCTAGTGTCTATAGTTTGTAGAACCACTGTCTAGTGTCTATAGCTTGTAGAACCACTGTCTAGTGTCTATAGTTTGTAGAACCACTGTCTAGTGTCTGTAGCTTGTAGAACCACTGTCTAGTGTCTGTAGCTTGTAGAACCACTGTCTAGTGTCTGTAGCTTGTAGAACCACTGTTTAGTGTCTATAGCTTGTAGAACCACTGTCTAGTGCCTATAGCTTGTAGAAACACTGTCTAGTGTCTATAGTTTGTAGAACCACTGTCTAGTGTCTATAGTTTGTAGAACCACTGTCTAGTGTCTATTGCTGGAAGAACCACTGTCTAGTGTCTTTAGCTTGTAATACAAATGACTTACTGTCTACAGCCTGTAGTAAAAGTTCCCAGAGAGCTGGGATCTTTCAGTTCCTCTTCCGTTACCTCTCGTCCCCGCAGATCCTACAATATAGGCAAAGGATTACAAAGAGTTAACAGTGAGTAAGTCAATAACATTTGTTACAAATGAACTTCTGTATTCTGATAAGCAACTGACAATTTTAATTTAAAACCGTTTCTTATTAATTGAAATTTCCATTCAGTATTTGACCACAATCTCACTACAAACAGTTCCTTTTTCTTACAAAATACAAATGTATCTCAGCCATTTACATCAATGAACATTTACATTAACTTTATGTACACAAAGACTTACCCTCACTGTGGCTCTGAAGACAGGTTTTGATGGTTTGGCTTTGGCTTGGCTACTTGTTTCCGTTTTACTTTCACTTTCACTTTTGCCTGTGTCCTGTGAGCTGGTATCAGACGGGTCCTTTGATTTCTCTGTCTCTGCCTGACTTTCCTCCATTTCAGACTGAGCAGGACTTTCACTTGTGTCCATCATTTCTTCTGAATCCTCAGCTATTTCTTTTTTCTGTGCATAAAGAGAAAAGTTGACTAAAATTATTGACCATTTTTATTTGTAAAATCATTTCAATTATACTGTAAATCACTTTTTATTCGCGAGAACTTTATTTTGGCGTAATTACGCGAGACGGTATGCTCGCGAAAATTTCATTCTCGCGTATGATAAAATTCCTTAAGAATATATAGAGCAATGACCACAATTCGTGAAAATTTTGTCCCGCTAATAAAGAGTCGATAACTATCTCGCTAAAATAAGGTGTCGCGAAAATTAAGTGATCTACAGTACTGAAGGAATATAAATATTTTTTTTTTATCAATTCACACTTCAATACTCCCCTCCCCCAAAAAATTCTTCACAAAGTGATCATTTAGTTTTAAAATGCCACTTATAAGTCAGTTAAAAATTAAAAGCCTTATTTTGTAAACATGTAATTTTAAACTAAAAAATCTTGAAATGTTTTAGCTGTACATCATGGAAATCTCATATCATTCTACAAGTCCAGCTCATTGTTATTCTGTTCTTCAAAAAAAAAAAAACTACCCCACTGCTCACCTGTCCCTCTGATAGTGAATTTTCCTCTGTCTCCATCGCCTCTGCAGCACTTTTCCCACTCTCTCTGCTGTTCTCGTCATCAGGTACCCCCTTCGTTGATCCGTCACCACTTTCACTGACCGGTTCACTGTTTTTTACAACCTTTGGAATTCGATAGCCTTTAAGTGATTTGACTGGTTCCTTTTCTAGTCCTCCTCCTTCTGATTTGACTGGTTCCTTTCCTGCGCCCCCGTCCTCTTTTGACTTGGGGTCTAGAGGAGAGATTTCTGGTCCTATTGTCGGTGGTGTTACCATTCTGGCTGACTTTGGTACGTAAGTTACACGTTTGGCACTGGGAAGTCCAGGGAAGCAAATCACAGCCAGGAACCAATGAGAACTGCATGAAAAATAGCAAGAGTTGGAAAAATTTTTAACAAATCAATATTTTTGAATTATTTTCCAATATAACTAATAACTTTTGTTATCAAAAATTGATCTTTTTATTCTCCTTTCCACAACATTTGTAACATATTGGTCTGGTATTGTCTGATTTTGTATTTATATTCAAAAGAACAAAAATTCTTACTGCAATTTGAATATTTGATCTCTTTTCCCCCCAAAAATGTAATCTTAATCAGTAAGTTTTAAAAGCATTTGAAGGATAAGTGTCAGGATGACTGAAATTATACACAAATTGTAGCACTCTGGTTACTGGTAATATTTGACACTCACTGTTCATTAATTGGTACAAAAATGAAGTCTTTCTCAAAGAGATCCACTTTCTTTGTCCAGTTTTTGACCCTGGCATGCTTCTTCTCTGCTGGACTAAAAACAAATTATTAATAGAGATTGTTCTATCTGACGTATCCGTATCCGTATACGTATCCGTATCCGTATCGAGATATGAAAGGCATCTCGATCCCGATGTCTCAACCATCTAATACAATTTCCGTCTCTGTTTGTGGTTAAATAAGCCACAGTCATGCATTGGAAAATAGGAAATGACCATTTTTAATTATATTTATTAAAAAATATTTATTAAAAAAAAGAAAATGAATTCAATTATAAAATATTTTATTTTAATTATTTTGTTTTAAAATTAAAATCATTTTGTTTCAAATTTTTTGTAGGAAATCCCCTTTCTCTTTTCCTCTCGCTTAATATCAGGATATTTTATTGATATTTTCTGTATTTTTCATATACCTTTACACGGTATAACAGATACCCCCCCCCCCCCCCCCACACACACACTGAAATACAAAATACGTTATCATCAACGCGATTGATAAAACACTGTAGCCGTTTTTATAGAGACTTTTCAAACTGATTTCATAATTCGCCTCAGGACCGTTACAAGTATTGAGTATATGCATTGAAGAGCCTGTTCAACTCCCTCCTTTCCCCTCCCCTCACATTGGCGTCAGAAGCAAATTGAAAGTAGGGAGAGGGGGGCTAATTGAAAGAGAAAAAATATAAGCCCTGAAAAACCTTGACATGCAAAAAAAGTACTTAAACACTATTTTGTGTGTGGGGGGGGTCGAACTTTTTTCATTGCCATTTTTTTAAGTGGAAAGGGAGCTTATCCTACGCCTGCAGCCCCCCCCCCCCCCCAGTTCCGGCGTCTGTGCCTCACGTACCATGTGTACACATGACATTTGATAACGTCTTTGACTATCATTCATTAACATCATTTGTGGTTTGATATAAAAACTATTTCTGAATATGGTATTCAATAAATCTCAACTCTTTTTTATGCTAAGATTAAAATAAATATGGCTCAAAATTTTCAAAATAATACATCTTATTTTGCTAAGTCTACTTGTCCATCGTCCTATTTTTCTTCTCTATTTTATCTGACTTTCTTTTTCATATATATAAATAGGCCGAGATCGAGATCAGTGTGCACAATTTATAGAATTGAAGAGAAGGAACTGCTTCAATGTAGCCAAGAAAAAAATCACGCATTTAAAGAAAAATTACAGTAATGAAATACATGTATCAAAGTTTTTCAGAGCTTGCTTTGTTCACTATAAACTCGATCAAGTAACTTTCATAAAAAGAAGTTAATATGCAAATAGAATAGTTTAAGAAAGGAAGATACATCGTAACCTAACATTTACTTTTCTCCCCCTTCATCGACAAGTGTTAAATCAATCGAGTACTACATATACTGCATTTAATCGCAACACTGTCGGAAATTGTACATATTCAATTCTCAATGCAAGCTCCTTGAAACCCTGGATACGCATAGGCGTCAGAACCGGGGGGGGGGGGGGGTTAAGCCCCCCACTTTCTTGCAAAGACATAATATTGGCATTTAAAAGTGGGGTTTACCTTTCTTGTTGGTTTAGCCCCCCTTTCAATTAACGCCCCCCACTATTTGCCTCCGCCGCCCATGATACGGCTGTCGACCTACAATTTAGGGAGTGTATTTAAACCGCCCCAGAATTACCAGCTATCCAATTTTTTTCTGGAGAAATATGAAATACTTGATAATGAATGGCATAGAAGATAAGAAAAAAGGAAAAGAGGATGGACGTTTTCAGTAAATCCCCCATATACACATTTGTTTTGCAATATGGTTAAATCTTCCCCAGTTAATGTACAATTACATGTTTTTACAATTAATTTACAAGTTTGAGATAAAGAGGTTTAACTGTAAATATAATTATATATTATTTGGGATATGTCGTGTAAAATTGTTGTAAATGTACATGTTAATTTTAGAATGAAGAATGAATACCCTGAGAGAGAGAGAGAGAGAGAGAGAGAGAGAGAGAGAGAGATTTTCGTACAATTTTCTACACATTTAAATAATTAAAATCATGCTTATTTTTCTAATTTTATTTTTAAACTTTTACCCCCTCCCCCACAAACACATGATGCATAAGGCGTGTACAGCAACTGATATGTTTTTTTTTAATTAAAAATATCACACTACATATCATTTTTTAGTGAATGAGGTTAAAAATCAAACATGAAACGATGGAATTGTAACCAGATTGTTTAGACATCGGGATCCAGATGCCTTTCATATCTCGATACGGATACGGATACGTATACGGATACGGATACGTCAGATAGAACAATCTCTATTAGTATGTTTAATCAACATTGTGTAAGAAACATAATCGTAAATGTCCAGTAACCATTAAATGGTGATATTGTAAATGCCATACAGCACAGGGATTTATCTAGCTATTTTGTTTTACTACCGTTTTATATGTAAAGGGGAAAAATGAGAGCCGCAGGCTCGATCTGAGTGCCGGAGGCGCGAGTATTCTAGGGGGGTCCGGGGGCATGCCCCCCCGGAAAATTTTTAAATAAATGGAGCAAAATCCTGCATTCTTAGAGCTTCTGAGGGTCATTTGTAGACCTTTACAAAGGCCACAAAAACTTCACTTTTTAGACAAAATATTAAAATAACAAAAAAAAAAAAATAATAAACTAGGTCAATACTTTATTTAATTTTTTCTCTCAATATCTATCACAAATCAATTCTGATTTTTATGTTTCACTACTAACATTGTTATTGTTGTTACTCCATTCTTCCAATCCATAGTGATATAAGCTCCGTCTTACTAATCTACACTTTTCTTTTTAACTCTGCAATCCAGACGTATATTTTGACATCATGGACATGGCACATGTTTACCGATCAATATCAAATAGAAGCTTGAATCTTCTACTCTCTCTTTTAAAAGCGTTTGAATGACTAGGATGGTAAATTAGGATATGCTGTTAAACTTAAATCTGACAAAAACGGAAAATTTCAGTACGATGTTTTAAATATTCTCTGTTTAACAGTCAGGGGTGGTACTGAAATCAGTCATTTTTGAAAATGATGATTTTCAGTCATTAAATTGATTTTTAATAATGATGGAAATTCATCATTTTTTAGTAAAATGATGAAAAACAGTCATTTCTATTTTGAAATTTATTTTAGAAATAGAGTCATCTCTGATATTAAAAATGACTGTTTTTCATCATTTTTTATCAAATTGTTAGGTCTGGGCGCACTTAATTATCTCATTAGTTTTACGGGGCGCACTAAATTATTTTGGTTTCAATTACTTGTCAAGATGTTTCTCTACACAAGGGTCTATGGCAGGATAGTGTACTATATCTAATTACTGTAGTAAATGGGATGGGAAAATTGACTTGAGAATGGAAATATGATGAAAAGACGTCATATTTACAAAAATCAGAAAATTGTGTACATTATATACTTAGAAGAAATGACCATTATCCATCATTTTCAAAAATGACTGATTTCAGTACCACCCCTGACTGTTTAATCAGAGAATTTTCTATCTGAAAATGGGAATTTTTTCACTTTTATCAAGAGGGGAAAGGTACCGTTTACCGGTAGTAAAAACAGCCTTGATAAATCCCTGCAGCAATTCATCTTATAAACAGTAATAGCTTTCATTCATATATACAAAAAAAAATTGTTTCTGTTGTTATACAATGTAAAGTTTTTTCTGCTGCTAATTATATCCCAACAGTTTTGTGGTTGATTTTTTATGCCCCTACGTTTTATCTGCCATGTTGTCCTCTGGTCCACAGCGACCTTGTCTCTGGGTCAGACGCTTAAAGAAGAACGAGCTGAATATGTGTGTCCTCTCCCTGTCCTTGTCACTCAGTACACTCAGGAATAGATATCTACAAAATATCAACATCAGGAATAAATGTCTACAAAATATCCACAAAATAACCTCAGGAATAGATATCTACAAAACATCAACATCAGGAATAGATATCTACAAAATATCAGAAACAAATACAGTATCTCCAAAATATCAGGAAAGGATGTCTACAAAGCATCAGAAACAGATTTGTACAAAATATCAATATCCAGAGAAGATACATGTATCTGCAAAATATCAACATCAGGAATAGATATTAGCTGCAGATCTGTAGCGTTATGGTTTTATATACTTGTCTTTGACCATAACACTTCAGATCCTGTAACGCAAACAAGAGGCCCAGGGGCCACAGCGCTCACCTGAGCACATCGGGCTTGAATTTAACCCCCCCTCCCAGGCATTCATCATTTGAACAAACTTGAATCTACACTACCTGAGGATGATTCCACATAAATATCACTAGTCATAGCTTTGAAGTACTTGTAAAGAAGATTTTAAAAGATTTCCCTACATATCCCTATGTAAAACTTGGGTCGGCCATTTTGGCCCCACCCTAGCCCCGGGGGTCATGATTTGAACAAACTTGAATCTACACTACCTGAGGATGATTCCACATGAGTTTCATCTTTCCTGGCCCAGTGGTTCTGGAGAAGAAGATTTTTAAAGATTTTTCCTATATACTCCTATGTTATACTTGGATTGACCATATTGGCCCCACCCTAGCCTGGGGGTCATGATTTGAACAAACTTGAATCTACACTACCTGAGGATGATTCCACATGAGTTTCGTCTTTCCTGGCCCAGTGGTTCTTGAGAAGAAGATTTTTAAAGATTTTTCCTATATATTCCTACAAACTGTATGTAAAACTTGGGTCGGCCATTTTGGTCTCACCCTAGCCAAGGGGTCATGATTTGAACAAACTTGAATCTACACTACCTGAGGATGATTGCACATGAGTTTCCTCTTTCCTGGCCCAGTGGTTCTTGAGAAGAAGATTTTTAAATTAAAGATTTTTCCTATATATTCCTATGTAAAACTTGGGTCGGCCATTTTGGCCCCACCCTAGCCCCGGGGGTCATGATTTGAAGAAACTTGAATCTACACTACCTGAGGATGATTCCACATGAGTTCCATCTTTCCTGGCCCAGTGGTTCTTGAGAAGAAGATTTTTAAAGATTTTTCCTACATATTCCTATGTAAAATTTGGGTCAGCCATTTTGGCCCCACCCTAGCCCCGTGGGTCATGATTTGAAGAAACTTGAATCTACACTACCTGATGGTGATTCCACATGAGTTCCATCTTTCCTGGCCCAGTGGTTCTTAAGAAGAAGATTTTTTTAAAAATGCCATTAATTTTTCTCAAATTCATAATTATCTCCACTTTGAAAAGGGTGTGGCCCTTCATTTGAACAAACTTGAATCCCCTTCACCCAAGGATACTTTGTGCCAAGTTTGATTGAAACTGGCCCAGCGGTTCTTGAGAAGAAGTCGAAAATGTGAAAAGTTTACAGACAGACGGACAGACAGACAACAGACAGACAGACAGATGGACAGACGGACGCTGGACAAAATGTGATCAGAAAAGCTCACTTGAGCCGAAGGCTCAGGTGAGCTAAAAAGATGCAATTTACGGCGCAATATTTTTTGCGCACATTTGGGGAGAATTTCTCCACTTTCTAGCCTCAGTCAATTATCTACCTTTCACTCCCTAATTCTAGGCACAATATTTAACTTATCTGTATATTTTATCCATCCTTTATAGTCGTCTCTACAAGTGATAAACTCGCTTGATTAGAATTATTTGTTAGATTGCTGAAAATTCACTTCAAGCAAGTTTTATGACTGTAGAGACAACTATACATGGTTGGGAGGTGGATAAAATATACATATTGGCTACAGAATGTGTCTAGAATTAGGGAGCGAAAGGTAGTTGATTGACCAATGCTAAAAAGTGGAGAAATTCTCCCCAAAAGTGCACAAAAAATATTGCGCCGTAAATTGCACCTTTTTTGCATAACGGGATCTGTAGCGTTATGGTCAAAGACAAATACTGTAAACCAATTTTTATTTCGGACGACTTTATTTCGCGATTTACCATGAGTAAACTAGTTCGCGACGATTAATTTTCCCGATCAAGCCGTTTTTGGAACCGTTTTTGATAGAAAAAGAGAGTTAAGGACCCGTTTGCAGCGAGAAATATTCGCGATGACGAGGCTCTCGCGAACCTCGCGAAAATTTCTCGCACGCGAATAAAAGTTGGTTTACAGTATACAAAACCATAACGCTACAGATCTGCAGCTATAATCGATATCTACAAAATATCATTATTTTAGGTATATCTAACTTTCCCTCTATAGTCTATAGTTTGTGTAAAAAATCACCAAAAATAATGAAGCAAATTATTGCCAAATTAATAAGAAAGTTGAACAGCCTTACTTGAGGTAAAAGTCGATGATGACATCGTTGAGGAATTCTCCCTCCTGAAGACAAGACAGATCCTCATTTGTGACCTGAATCCCTCCCGGGGCAGGTGGGGGCGGAAATGTGATAAGTCTACAATACAATATTATAAAAGATGTAATATACTGGTAAATTCCATCACCCTTCAAGTCAATATGAATGATTAATTTCCATGAATGTAAATACATGTACACAGTATTTTTCAAACTAAAAAGTTGAATTTAAGTAATCTACATGACAGATTAGAAACACAAAAGGTAAAGACTTTGTTTCTGCTTTATTTTTTTATATAATATTCCATGATCAATTTCCTTAAAAAAAATTCTACTTTCAAGACTTACTTGACCACTGGACCAGTGAACAGTATCTTTGGTGGAGAGGGGGACCTTTCGTGGGGCTGGGGTTGGGGGGTGGAGGGCTCTGATAGGGCCTGATCTCCCTGGATCTCCTTCAGATACACCGCTGCCTCAGTGGCCGTCATTTGTTGAATGAAGTTAAAAGTTGTATCCTTTGGCTGTGGGTATTTCCTGAGTACACACTCCAGTTTCTGAGAGGTCAGCGATCCCAAATTGACCAGCAAGATGGTGATAAATTGATGTTTCATTACTGAAAGAATAAAACAGAATGATTACTTTATATGTAAAATTACTATTACAAAACTATCAATCAGTCCTATGGATTGCCGTTACTGGTATTATCTGTACATAACAATTCCAAGTTTTATTTTATCTCATATCAACCCAGGCTCTGAGTTAGAACACATACTTGCTATAAACAACCAAAATTTTTCTTACCGGAATCATTGGGATCAAAACCACTTTCCCCATTCCCTGTCTCCAACTTCAACATTTCCCGAACTTTCTGTGCAAATTCTGGCGTTGTCTTGAGAAATATGACAGGTCTGTTTTCCAGACAATACATGCACTGTTGTAGTTCATCAGGTTTGATAATAAACTTGTGTGTGTTATCCTCACCTAGAAAACACAAATTGTGCTTGATCATACTGTTTGAATAATACACTGCATTGTATTACACTCATGTACAAGAGATGAATCAGCAAGCGGAAAAGAACATTTTTTGGTAGCTCCTATTAAGAAACTTTTTAAAAGTAAAAATATAATATGCATTTTTCTTAATCAATTCATTTTTGAGCAGGAAAACTATTTGTTTTTCCCTATATGCCTACCCCAGTTCAAATTCTGTCAAAAAAGGTAAATAACCCTAAATTCCCAATTATTTCTCAACATTTAGAATGTACTATTATATTTGTATTCAATGACAGTATAGCACATTTGGAAACATACAAGTTAACATGCCTTATATTTCAATACGTATACCAGGTAGATCCAGTTTACACAGATTTACTTACATTCTATGTGAAATGAGATGGAGTCTTCATCAATGAAAACAGGTTCCACAGGACAACCCAGCACAGACCCAATATGGATGACTCTGGCATGGAAGTCTACAATGGACACATCTACAGGTTCTTCACATCTCTGGGGATCTGTTGACTCAGTGGGAGGGACATTTGTGGCTGTTCCTTGTGATGGGGGCATGGTTGGAGATTTCCTCCTACCTGCCTTTCTAATGATTGGTATTCCCTCCTGTTTAAGAGACAATTCATAATGAAGACTTGGCTATCAATAGATGAAGGCAGGGGATGACAAATCCCATTGCCGAACGCCAAGGGCTAGTGAATTTTAGGAATGGGCAAGTGAAATTTTATCAACCTCTTGCCCCTGGGCAAGTGACTTATCAAAAATAAAATCAATATGTGTTAGTCCTAAAGCTGGGCATAGGGGCTTGCATGAACTACTCAGTTTTTGTCTTCCACTTTTTTGTAAATATTTATAAATACATTATTAGTTTACGGTCAGGAAAGCAAAAAAAATTCAGGTAGGGCAAGTGAATTTTGACCGTGTACTTGCCCCTGGACAAGTGCCTTAAAAATTTATTTGTCAGCCCCTTGAAGGCGATGTTTTTAATGTACATATTTCCTTATACTGCAAGTAAATCATAAAGATGGAACAGTCTTTTACCCTGAAAGGCAATACACTAAACCAGTAAACTGATGAATGCATTGCATAATGCGAGTTTAGAAGATCTTGGCTATCAGGAAGCAAAATTTGATGTCGCAACAACTTCAACATTACTCAGTTTGACTGTATATACCGAATAAGTAGAATTTTTAGCGAGGATTTAATTTTGGCATTATTAGCAAGGGTGCCGAGATCACTAAAATTGAATATCGCTAAAAATTAATTGCATTTTATTTGTAATAGCTTCTTTAATGTGTATTTTTAAAATCGCTGAAATAACATCTCGCTAAAAATAAATTACCAGTTTTTAAGGACAAATCGCTAAATTTGCGTCTCGCTAAAATTTCCACTTATACGGTATGTATAGCAGCCATGAAATTCTGAAGTTCTTGGGAAAAAAAATTGTTATAGATCTCTGCTCTAATTCTGCAGCAGTAATATTTCCCGTACCTCATTCTCCATTCTCTTCATCCTGCTGTTCTGGAACACTGGTGAAGCTGTGCCTTTGTTCTGAGGAATGTTGTCCAGGAGTTGACCTATGTCGTCCTTCTCTATGGCTGCCGGGTCACTTCCTGTGGCAGGGGATTCTGGGACAGACGATTTCTCTGATTCTTCCTCCTCGTCAGATGATATTGATATTGTTACTGGAAAATAACGGAAACATATCAAATAAGTTACATAGAATATGTATGTATGAAAATAGCTGAGAAACTTTGTACCCTGTAAAATTTTAACTTGATGAGAATTTCACGTCTAAATCAAATGGTATATATTCCATCTGAGTTGAAGAAATTTCGAACATATTCTGGATTTAGACTAAAAAAAATTTTTAACTCATCTCGTGTCTTGTAAACTTTTAACTCGTAAATCTTTAAACAAGTTTGTTAGGTAAAAATTAAGATATTAATAATTGACACAAGGCTGTCCTCAGTTTACGGTCTTCGGGCCTAAAATAACATTTTAAGATACCTGGCTCTAGAGGTTGTAACTTCCTGGGCTGCTTGGCCCCGCGGATCACAGACGGAGATCTATAAGATTTCCCTTCCAGATTCACACGCCGTCCCTTCGTGACGTAGTTAACATACACAATATTCCCATCCCTGTTAGTAGCAGGATGCAACACAAGTTGATTAGTCACAGGCTTCCCGTAAAAAGATTGTTTTGAGATCACTGTATCCTCTTCTTTGTTTTCAAGGTCTGTTTTGAATTTCTTTTTCTGGATTTCTATTTTAGTGTCCGCTGGGAAAGTAGTCAAGATTGAATCAAATTGATTATGATTACATATTTTTTCTAAAAACTAATTTCTCCAGACAGCATCGTTCACACGATTTGACTGTCGTGCTGGTATAGCCACAGAATTTACAGTGAACCAATCGCATTTCATCGTCATTGATAGGGGGTAAATCAGACACATCCTAAAAGGAGAGTTGTTAAATTATCAACCACGTCTAAATGGTCTAAATAACTCAAGGAATATTTTCACTCCATAATAAATATATCTCTATACACAGGTACACTTTATCCCAATATATATACTAGCTGCAGACAAGATTGAATCAAATTGATTATGATTACATATTTTTTTTCAACAAAAACTAATTTCTCCAGCAAATTCTTACTTCAATGGGTCTTTTCTTTCCTTGCTTATCTTGACTAGTTAATTCTGAAATAGGAATGTGCAAGTAAATTTCAAAGATTTGTTTAGTGATTGTTGCGATAGAAATGAAGTAACCAAGCTGAATTGTTACAGAAATGGCATTTTTAAAAAAAATTTTAAGGAAAATAAATTTGGATCTGCACATAAAATTAGGTTTTCTTCTTTAATGACTAACAATTGTTTATTTCTTGGGCTTAAATTGACAAAATTTTCAAATCTCGAAATTTTTTATCTTACCAGAAATTTCTTCATCTGTATCTTGGTCAGTATTGGGCACCATTCTGTAGAAAACAATGCCATAAATTACCTTCATAATACTGTGGATTCCACTTTTCTTTTCAATTTTACACCAGTTTTTATTGTTTAAGCCACACCATGAAATTATGATATCTATAAATTTTACAAGCAATCAATATGATATATGCTCATCCTCCAATTCACATATGTTTTAATGAAATTGCATTTTTTTTGCCCAAACCACCAATTTGTTCCCCCCAAATTTATAAAACTACTGTACATTCTTCATTAAAGATTTATTCTTCGGACAGTGTAGGAAATGGTTTCTCTAAATGAGATAATGTATGCATGTTCTCATTTCACAAATCTCCATCCAAACTCTACAAGTATGGCAAGAACAACTGACTTCACTACATATACACTGGTACTTAGACTCTAATAGATTGATTACAAAGAGACAAAAGGTGAGAAATTGAACTACAAGATCACATCTAAATTTCATAGTTTACAGTGACTGAAAAAATATTTCTTTTATCTACAACTATATTTCTTTTACCTATATATAGTCCTCTGCGGCCCAGTTGTGTGTTTCCAGAATCTCCCCTCCTTGAACACCTTACCCACAGCTTCTGCTGCATTGAGGAATGACCTGGCAGGACTGCGGAATTAACATGTAAAATATCAGGACAAGATTGAATTTCTAGTTTCCTATCATTTCCAACATACTCTTGTAAAAGATTTATTAGCCACTCTCGAAGGCATAATATTTCTGAATGCACAGGTTATATAACATATTGACTTACTTTCACGCACCTGTGAACCTGATGACAAATTCCCCCTCTTTGTAAAAAATTTTCCTCAAATTCAGTACATTAAAGAAATGTGTGAAACATATTCCAAGGGAACAATTGTTTTTTTTCGTCGGATGCCAAACATCACAGGTGGTGAAAAATCAAGTCTCAACCAGGACTCAAACCCAAGGCCTCTGGTGTACCGTGCCAGCACTCTAACCACCCGGTATATTGACCAACTTTCACACACCTGTGAACCCGGTGACACTTACCTATTCCCTTGAGGAGTAGACATGTGTAGCCCTGTGGCATTGCCCCGCAGGGCTTTCTCCTTTTTGTTCCCCACTCCCCCTCCAACCAGGCCTACAGTCGTCTCTAAAAAAGTCAAATTTTGAATGTCATTATGGCCTCTTCTTGAAATACAGATAACATTTACAGATATTCTTGTTTGTTTATTACTGATGCATGGTCGTTAATCTGTTTTCAGGACCACAATTATGAATATAAACTAGTTACAGGTATAATTGTAAACTCAACCACCGCAATTCTATTCAAAATTTTCAATTTATTGCATTCAACAGATCATATATCATTAACCTTACCATTTAACCTTGACCTCTGACTAAGGAAAAAGAAAACTATATTGTCCTTTCTACTCACCCTTAACTTGTTTAACTAGTATGAAGCTTGACCAAAAAAAATGTACATACAAATTTTTTCAAGGTCATGGAAATTATCTAGAACCTTGACCTTCCTCTAACTAGTCAACATGATTTTGTACACCCACATCTTAATGCAGGTCTCCAGAAAAAAATTCAAATTTACCATTTGTTGGTATGAGGTATTCCCCATCATATCTGTAGAACCTGTTTTCTTCCTTGCATGGAATTTTGTACACAGTATTTTTCTGAAACCTCACGGCCACTTTACTGCTCTTGAAGTCCACTAAAATTTTATCGGTTGGTTTGGCCCTAGCAATGGCCTCCGATAAGATATCTGGCATTAACAGAGCTCCATTGGAAAGTGTTCGTGCACCCGAGTTCTGAGACTTGGACAGTTCCGATGAGGATTCACCTTCACCTTTCTCCGATGAATTGGATGGTGAATCAGAATCACTGTAATTCACTAGAGACGATGAATTACTTTGTCCCGGAGAGGCACCCTCCAATGTGTTCATGGAGACACCAGTATGGTTCACCTGTTGCTTAATAATGTTAGATTGCACAATTTGTCCAGAACTTTGAGTCCTAGCTATAAGCACTGGCTGTGAAAGTGGAACTGTTTTTATAGCATCGTTACAATTCTGGGGTCGGATTTGAACAGGGGATGTGGCAGCCGCCGAAGCATGATTTACAAAATAATTCTGTTTAATGGGCCGCTTTCCTCGCCCTAGTTGCCTGGGTTGCCTTACACTAGGTCCACGTCTATTCGCAACCCCTCTCACTCCCACTGGAGAATTCAAATTAGTCCTGGGTGAAACTGAGATGGTCACTCCTTGAGTAGTAGGAATATTTGCATTATCCACCACAGAAGTTAGCACTGAGAAGTTCTGGGGAATGACGATTTTGGTGGGAGACTGACTAGCTGAGAAACTGGGGCTGGAGAGGGGGGTCTGGACTTGACTCAACTGAGGACAACTAGCACTATGAATGATTCTGACAGGGGTAGCCAACTGGCCTCCCGCCAACTTCAGTCCGGAATTCCCACTGGGAGAGTTCACCACCTGCTGGTTTGGGACAGCCTGAGGGTTGACCTTTGTTATGGGCGTACCAGGATTTACAATGATGTATTGAGTGCCACCACCACTCACACTTGGTATGATGACAGTCTGGTTTTTGGAGGTCACAGATTGGAGGTTCCCGACGGTCTGAACTTTCTGTGGACTGGTCAGGGTCAAGTTGCTGTTACTGAAAATAGCACACAGTCAGATATTACAAATATGAAAATAAATGTCTTGTTCTATTTCAAGTCTAAAAACGTACACATATTCTTTAAAAAGTGTCAATCTAAAAAAATTCACTGGTTTGATGAAGTTCTTGTAAAAAAAAAAATGTTTTCACAACTTATTATCAAATTTCAAAATACAAGCTTGGCTTGTAAACAATAATCTTGTATTAAAATATAAACTTGTCTTACATTTGGTTATTGTTTACAGCTGTTGCTTGCTTGACTGGGGTAGATGCTGCAACATGGACAACTTTCAGAGGAGAATTATCAGTAGATGACTGAGGACTGCCCACATTAGAAGCCGTGGTCACCCCGCCCAATCCAACTCCCTGGTTACTTTTACTCTGAATGAGATTTGCTAGTGTAGTCGGCTTCGCCAAGGAAACTGTTCCAATTTTCTGCACAGGCGTAGCCAGAAGAACGGGATTAATGACCTGGTTTCCTGCTGCTGGTACTTGCTGGACCTGAATGACTTTTTGGCCCTGCACCTGCTGAGGACTCTGTTGCTGGGTGTTTAATCCTGTTGCAGTCCTGCAAGTTTTGATGAGTTTCAGAAGATCCTCTTTAGAAATTTTTCCCTGATTTGCACAATTAAGAATGGCATTAATATTGAGTGGACTTCTTATTTGAGAGATACTTGTTCCAAACTGAGAATTAATCTGAGCCACTGGTGTCGAGGGCTGAATTGTGGTCCTAACTAAAGGTACCTGTGGGGTTTGTGGTGTTTGTGTCGTTTGTTGGGTTGCAATAGGTTGCACAGATGTTGCTAAATTTACCTGCACTGGTTGTCGTACTGTTCCCAGTTGAGCAGACGATAAATTCACTTGGTTGGCCAGCTGCTGATAGCTTACTTTAGACAAGAGTTTCTCAAGCAAAGCTTTTTCCTCGGGTTTATTACATGTACCTGTTAGTGTTAATTCTATCTGCCCTTTTGCATTCCTTGAGGGTTGCAGTTGGAACTTTGGTTGTCCTTGCACAGCAGCATTATTCTGCACAGCATCACTTCCATTTTCCACTATTAGCACCTCCCCATCTTCCAGTGGTTGTGGTTCCTGTTGAACTTTGGCCCCTGGAAATCCGTCACCAATAATCACTTTTTCACTTGTTTGAATGCCTGTCACGTGACTTCCAAACTCCTGGGATGACGAATCTAAGCCACACCCTCCTTCCTGACTAACAATTTCTACACTTTCCTCTAGAGAAGAATTAATCACTACAGTCTCAGGTGATTCAATGATGTTCTGTTGTATCGTGTCTGATGCTTCACTTTCGACTTCAACTACAGAGTCAGAAGTAGGAAATCTACAGGAATCACTCCAACCTTGATCTGAGGACTTCTCTGTTTCTTCAAGACCTAAAAAAAGACAAGAGAAAAAAAATTAAATGTCTTTTCTTTATCCTGAGCCTTTACTAATTTTTTAACAAATTTGACCTGTTCATTGAAATTACAATTATATTTATTAATTGCACATTGCAAAGATTCAAGTACTAAATGACTAAGTTTTAAAATGTAACTGATTGCAAATAAACCTTGATTGGTGGAGAGGGGAGGGGATATGATTTGTTCACACTTTAAAGTTTACACTAAACTAAGGATGCTTCCATTTTTCTCTACTAATGGCTTTAAATTATTGTTAAAGATTACCTCCCCCATAGTTATATTTGATCATCTATTGGAGACCCACACTAAACCTGGGGAAAACACAATTTTTTCAAAACTGAATCAACACTACCAGAGGATGCTTGCCTTCTGAATAATGACTTTTTTTTTGGATTTGACAATCATGAAAATGAACAATCGGCTGGTATGACCGGTGGACAGGGGATGCTTACTCCTCCATAGCACCTGATCCCACCTCTCATTTAATAGAGCACCTGACTGGATATTCAGGGGGTGTGGGTTCAAATTCAGGTCAGGTCAGTCGCAATTTTTTTTTCTCGTTGGGATGGACAAGATCATTTTCTTTACACTCTTAGCAAGTGCTGAGTAGAGAGAATGTTCTATCGTTAAAATTTTATTGTCCTTCACCTTCGGACCCAATTTAACCATAAAATTCGTTGTGTGTATTGTAAATGTAGCAAAATAGCACTTCAAAATCTTCAAAATCATTTCGGAGCAGATCAGCCCGGATTTGCTACATTGCAAGTATATGGGACGTATTCTAACTGTGATGAGGGTTCGTCTTGAGACACTGTCAGATTATTCTAACTAGGTGCTGAGTAGTTAGAATAATCTAACTCACAGTGTTTTAGGACAAGCCCTCACCACAGTCATAATACGTCTCATATACTTAAATGTAGCGAATCCGAGTGGATCCGCTCCGAAGCGATTTTGAAAAACACAAAAGGGGTTGCACTGAAAATAACTACCAAATTAATCAAAACAAACCTTAATGAGATTGTATATGCCTTTATCCCAAAAAATAATCCATAAAAAGACAAATATTCAACTAATTTTCTCAACGGTTTTTCTTGCCTCTAATTTACCTGCCATGTTTATATTCAGAACTCTCTGGATTGTTCATTGTATACACTGAATACGAGTTATCACTTGTGTTTATTTTGCTACATTGCAAATACACAGAACCAATTCTATATTAAGTAAAGAGGGTCTGTAGGACAATATAACTTTGATGATAGAACGTTCTATCTGGGTGCTGAGCAGCTCTGAGTTCTATCCAATACTTGATATCACGATTACTTAACTTAGCGGAACTCTTTCGCGATGAAGGTAGGAAACGTCTGTTGGATTGGGGCATATGTGCTATTGAATACAATGGAAGATCGATCATTGTAGAATTTATAGGGACAGATAAGTAAAAAATCCTGGTGAAATACCTTGCTAAACAGTCGCTGAATCAGCCTAATCAATTTTTGAGAGGAGTTAATCATTTTTTACAATATTTTTAACTAAGCGGACTCTTCTCATTAAATAGTCACATTTTAAAGCTGATAAAATATTCTAAACTTTCCTTATTTGTCAATCTACTATTTGGAGTTCAATTGGCAATACGTTATACTTTCGGCATAAAATTGTTCGAATCATTCGATTGTCACTATTGGGTTCGATCGCCGGTGGCCAGATAGCTCAGTTGGTAGAGCACCTGACCGGAGTTTCAAAGTAGGGACCGGGTAAAATCCCGGTCTGGTCCACTGCATTTTCTCCTCTCCCGTTACATTTGGTGCCGTGCCATGCCCTGGAACGGACAGGTGAGAGGCCTGCCAGGGATGAGCCTGGGTTGGGGTCTTTGGAGGGCCAAAGAGGAATGTGGCAGTCAGCCGGGTTCGATCGCCGGTGGCCAGATAGCTCAGTTGGTAGAGCACCTGACCGGAGTTTCAGGGGGCCTGGGTTCGAAACTCGGTCTGGTCCGCTGCATTTTCTCCTCTCCCGTTACATCTGGTGCCGTGCCATGCCCTGGAATTGACAGGTGAAAGACCTGCCAGGGTTGAGCCTGGGTTGGGGTCTTTGGAGGGCCAAAGACCTTTAAGGAGGGAGGAATGTGGCAGTCAGCCGGGTTCGATCGCCGCTGGCCAGATAGCTCCGTTGGAAGAGCACCTGACCGGAGTTTCAGGGGCCCGGGTTCGAATCCCAGTTTGGTTACAGTAGTAATCGCGATATTACGTATACTGGTGTCTCATTGTATCGCAGTACTTAATTCTTTTGCATAAAAAGTATGATTTCAAATTTTTAATTTAACTTGTACCAAATGATATTTTTAATTCTAACTATGACCTTACTTTTTAGTGTCAAATGATTTTCCAAGCTTGCATCGTTTAATTTGTGGTCTGTTTTTAAAACATGAAGTCTTATTTACCTCCTTAATTGGAGAGTCTCGTTGTATGGGAAAACACGGATGCTTCTAGTTGACATGGACGTCAATTTTTATTTTTGAATTTACGATGTAATTCTACATGAAAAATAAACAATTTTACAAACTAAACACTTTTAAAAGACGACTTTATTTTAAAAATTTATTAGGTTATAAATTTAATGGTCTAAATATGATAAAAACTGGACTGGAAATCTGTTAAATTACGTTTTACATAAATATATTTTTTCCAAACAGACGTACCATGCTTCTTAATCATCAAAAAAGTAAACATTAAGACAACATACAGATTGTCCATCAACAAAAATAATATAGGCTATGTATCCGAATTTTTGCAATATACCGCGATACAATGAAACCCGCGATATAATGAGAATCGACTATATAACCATTGATCAATTTTGCCTGACAGTCACACAGTAATACTCAGATAATTCTTGAAAAGGAAATATCATTCCTTTTGTTAAAATTTGGTTCTAATATTAAAAGAGTCTTCTGCATGCAGAGACATTACTACATCAAATCTGCTTATAATCATCTCACTCCTTTAATGCTTTATGGGCCCTGAGGAACAATTTCTTAGTTCCTATAGCATCTGATCAGTTGATACAAACACTAATGCTACACAACTGTACACAAAATATTGTTCTTTATGAATCACTTAATTCTAACGCTTCTGTGTTGCATTTTCGACTTTCATCGCACGTTGTACACAATACAGACGTTGAGGTAACACGCCATTTTCCCACAATAAATCTCGCATTTCTCATACTACATGTCCACCAAAATAAAAACAGTCAAACAATGAAATCTTAAACTTTGTAAAAACAAATACCAGAGATGAGTGACATGGTGCTACAGGAATATATTGGTCATTTCTTTTGCTGAAGTTCACAACCATCGACATTTTTTCTTACTACAATCTGTGATGTCAC